GCTTGGCAATTGCCCTGTAGCCCTTTCCAGCCTTGTGGAGGTCCACAATTTTGTCTCTGGTGTCTTTTGACAGCTCTTTGGTCTTGCCCATGGTAGTAGTTGGCGTCTGACTGACTGTGGGGTGGACAGGTGTCTTTAAAGAGCTCAGACAGGTGCTACTAATTTAGATTAATGAGTGGAGTAGAGGTGGACTTTTTCAAGGCACAGTAACAGGTCTTTGAGAGCCAGAATTCTTGCTGTTTCTCAGATGTTCAAATACTTATGTTCAGCAGTGCAAGACAAATAAATTCTTTACAAATCATACAATGTGATTTCCTGAAATTTTGTTTTTAATTCTGTCTCTCAGAGTGGGAATGCACCTACAATGTGAATTTCAAACTCCTCCATGATTTCTAAGTGGGAGAACTTGCAAAATCGCAGGGTGTTCAAATACTTCTGTTCCTCACTGTATGTGTCTTTCACAGTGAGTGAAGGAGCTGCATTTTCTTATTTTGTGGGATTCATAAAGGGCACAGTATTAGAAGAAGTCACAGTGCTGGCAATAAATCCACACCCCTCAATTTCAGATCTCAACTCCATTTGAAAATGCGTTTTTTGTCCTACAGCAACTTATCCATTTTTAAGACTGCATGTGTTAACAGATTTGAGTAATTGTGATCTCAATATTGACCAAAATAATTGCAATTATAATTTTTGTCATAATTGAGCAGCTCTACATTGTAACCTTGGTCAGAATAAGCTAAAATTGTCAGTAACAAAGGTAGAAAGGTGGTTGTCAAGGTTTGGTGAGTTTGCTGACATATCACCCATCAGCTCTTTATGGAAACTGTTTGTAGCACATGGGCAGAGGTGTCATAAGCATTAGTTCTGCTTCTTCAATGTCTCCCAGTAGGAGCTGTGTCATAAACATTAGTTCTGCTTTTCTGTACTGAGCATGGTTCTTATTGAAGTGTGTGTAGTTTGTATTTGCTGCGTTATACGCATACAAACCTTTCCTTTTTTCCAATAATTCCCTCATTGTGTACTATTTGTCAGAGATTTGGATGTAGTTTCCCCTTCTCTAAAGTGTTTTTTACCCTCCTCTGTGTGATGTTTGTACACTAAGCTCGTCCAATCTGCAAGTGAAAACGTGCCCAGTACAGATAGGAGTGCGAGCCTCGCTCGAAATGCACACGAGAACTCTGGTCTTGACTGGCCGATCACGCTGAATATAGGCCATTTCCTATCTCTGCCGATTGATTGGTGCATCACTACTTCTCTACATTGTAAGAAAAAAGTGTCTCCAAATAATTATTAGGTTATTTATTTATTTTATTTTTTTATTTGATGATGTTGACTTTTTCAAATATTCAGTTATTCATTCACATCCCTAACATATCTGTGAGATTCTTGTAACTGCTACAAATGTCCTTGTCATCCTGTAGTTCCTGAGAGAAGATCTAAACTACCATGACCCCAAGGCCAAGCATAACAGCTTCCACGGGGATGACCAGTTCATCAGCGTGGAGGACTTGTGGAATGCATGGAAGGGCTCTAAAGGTACTGCTTTGAAGCCCGAAGGCCAACACTGCCTGCACAAACATGTTTTTAATATCTTTTGTTGTATTTATGAGTCTGAATCAGCCCATGAATCTTGTGTTGCGCATTGATACACTCTGCCAGTACTGACTGAAAGTGGACCAATCATTGCTGTTTTTAATAAAGCACTCTTTGTAACTGTGATTACAATGACTGTTTTGAAAATCCAATAAAATAGAGGTTGTATTTCCCTGTGAGTGAAAGTCTGGGTCACACATGAGCCCTGCTTGACCTTCTAACTCGTCGATAAGCTGGCATGTCAAGCAAAGTACAGTCTACTTATCCACTTCAGCCAGTGTTGGAGTGGACATCATTGGATCTGTCAACACAAAATTCACATATACACTCACCTCCTTCTCCTATCTGTTTGGCTGGGCTGCTGTGTAGTCTCTCAGAACACTTTTCACACCTTTTCTTCCAGCTGATCTTCTCCCCTTTTTGCTCATTGTACTGACTTACCCTGCGTTGCAGTTTATTGAAAAGGCTTGGGAGGTTTTAAACCAGGAAACTTTTTTTTTTGCTCAAGAGAGTAACACACTAATGCAGACAAACAACACTGTTGACTCTGCCAGGAGCTGAGAAGTGGATTTCCCTTGCACAGTTATTACTATGGGTAAGCCAGTGTACGTTATGCCACATGATACCTCATAGATCAGTCCAGATACAGAGGCACATTGTCATGTAATATGTCTCACATGACAAACTATTACAGTGCAGTTAAAGTGTTACGATAGTGACTTGCTGCTGTTTTACTCTTAATATCAAACAATATCTGTAATGTCATTGCTGATGCTCAGCTTTATTTTGAAGGTGTTTGTTAGCATTCATCTCAGATGTACAGTGTATGTAGAAAGGCAGGACTCCAGACTAACTGTTTCCACTGGTAGCACTGGTTCTCCTTCATGGGAAGTTTAGTACAAAATTCAGGTGCACTACTTAAATCAACACATAATGCAACACATTTTCATCTTAACTATATTACTGATAAATGCTTTGGTAGCATACAGGCAATATACAAAAACAACAGTATGCCTTTTTATTTCAAATCGCACTGGTGCGTTCAGTTCTAAAATTTGGTTGCACTATTGCTAAAAATAGTCACAAAATGTGACTAAATGGTCCCAGTTTGGAGCCCTGAAAGAGGATATCACATGACAGAGTGTTTGGAGAAGTTAATACAGCCTTTGCTACAGTTGTTAGGTTTAGTATTTGGTTGTAATCACTTACTGCCTGAAAATTATTGACCAATAGAAATGAATAGATGCGTAGTGTCTTCCCTGGTGATGCTCTTCTTGGCCTGTCCTTCAGCCATCTTCAGCTCCTGTTGTTTTTGGTTAGTTTCCGCTCTGACTCTGTACTTAAACAAGTGAATTACATAATCATTTGAACTGAGTCCAGTTTACTGACTCACCCTGAGAAAATAACTTATTGTCATTGTTCCAAAATGTAAAGTGTTACTTATCTACAAGTGCTTTCTTCACTCAAGATACTCAGCTGCAGGTTTATTAGGCACACCAAACTAAAACGGTTTTCTTTTGAGCTGTATTACTGTACATTATTTAGTGAGGTGTTTCTTTTATGTAGCTTATCCTTGTTGATATAAAGTGAGTGGAAGAAATATTAGAAACATCTGTCAGAATAACACAGTACAATAACACTACAGTGCAAATGGCAGCCTCCAGAATAATCATACAGTTGCAACAACAATGGAACATAACGGCCTTCATGAAGGTTGGATTAATTGCTGGATAGCTGTATTAAACTGCTATGTAACAAATAAACTGGCAGCTGGGTGAAGGGGTGAACACCCTCAAAAAGCATTAAATATAAAACTCGTGTATTTCATTCACACAGTCACTGTTTCATTTCAAAATGAATTTGTTGAAAGAGTGGTATAATGAATAACATGTTAATAGTTTCTAATTACTGCATGTGATAAAGACTGGTCATTACTGAATTATGCAGGTATGTGATGAATGATATTACATCTTGTTTTCTTTTTTTTGTCATCAGTGTATAATTGGACAGTCGATGAAGTGGTGGAGTGGCTTATCTCGTATGTGGAACTGCCACAATATGTGGATGCATTTCGCAAGATGAATTTTAGTGGAAGTGCCATGCCCAGGTAAGGGGTATCATGACTTATATAGACTGAAAAAATGTCTTTAGTAAGAATTTACTTAAAAAGAAAAGCTGAATACTTAAATGAAAGTGATAAGACTCAAGCTACCAAATTTAGTCCCAGCTTTTAAAAATGATTTACATTAACCTCTTACATTCCATATTCTCATCAGTGTCATTTTAATGGACTTTAATTACCATCTCATTTGGCTTCAGTTAAAGGGATCCTTTCTGTTCACTTGTCAAAACAGTTCAGTTAATCCAATAGTGTCCTGTTAACTGGATTTACAGGATTTGTTAAACGGTCACATTACATGTGCCTTAAAATCCATCACACCCTTTGCTCTTCCTTCTGCTTCTCTTCTTTCTCAGGCTTGCTGTAAAGAATTCTACTCTCACTCTCTCTATTCTGAAGATTTTGGATCGCAGTCATGTGCAGAAGTTACAGCTCAAATCTTTGGACACTGTGCTATTCGGACCACCACTGAGTATGTGACTTTATTCTTTTAACTCTTATTGTATCTCTGATTCATACTCTTTCATACAGCCTCAGTGATTACTTTCATATAATTCCAAACCCCGAATAGAGATGAGCGGATGGGTTTAGTTTTGTTACCTCTGGATGAAGGATTAGATTTGCATCCCATTTTGTTTTGTTTTTTTTGTAAAAAGTGTGATATCTCAAAGACTTGTAAATGAAATGGAGTAATTGTGTGGAAGGTTGAGTGATTGGACAAGGATCTGTTAAATTTTTTTTACCAGACTGAAATGCTCCACTTATCACTAAATGCAAATTAAAATAAAAATCTAAAAACCTTCAGTTAATCAAAACTCATTGGCCTTTACTTTGAATATGTACTGGGAGCTGAAGGGTCACTCAAAACTCTGATAATCAGTTTTATACAGTGAAGTGGTTATGTAAAGAGACCTGAAACAACTTCCAGATGTGTAACTTAGCACCTCACTTGATTCTCTAGGACTGGAAGAATATTACTGTAAATCACCTGCCGTATGTTTTGAATTCACATGACAGCCTCCCACCGTGAAACCACTGCTGCCTGCCACGCTCATCTTCCACCAGTACTTTGTCCCTGTGACATGTTGTGGTCGGGGTTAATTTGTCTGCACAATGACATTCATTTCTTCACTTTATCCAGCCCACCATTGTTATGTAGGAAAACTCCCATTACCACCTGTATCAGTTTCAGGGATTGAGGACATGGGCTGAAGGTTAGATCACATTGCTCTGTTTTCTAGACACACCCGTGTGCTGAAACAAATGGCCACACCGCTTATTTCAGGGCTTCAGAATAACATTTCATACTGGTGGCACTGGTACCACCAAGTCTCTCAGATGGTGGCACCACCTCAACATAATGCAAAATAATCTGCGTTTTTCATAAATTATTTTAAATCACCTTACCATCCAAAGTGCATACCCTGCATTTATAATAAAATTCAGGGAGAGGGAGACTTATGGAATAGAGTAAATGGGAAAATCACTTCTGAAACAAGTTTTCAGCTCTTTATGTAGTCTTCATAGTGCTCTATAGCCGAGCAGTCAACATGATGGTAATGATAACACTGATGATGATTAGGCTATCATATTTCAACTGAAATATATACCGATGAAGCCAAGTAAAAAGTTTTCAACACAGGCGAACAAGTAATCTACTTGATTTAAGCAGCTGTCTGTGGTAATTACACTTCAAATGCACCAAAGGAAAAAATACAACCAAAGCTTAAAAAAGGGGTCCAGGAATGATGTGTGTGTCTTGGATCGATACTTTTAATAAATTGGAATTCGCTGCTTCGTGAGACGAATGAGGGACAGACCTGCAGATAAATGCTGCAATGATGGTATCGTGGAGATTGTCTCTCCACTACTTTAACAGTGAGAGCATTGTTTGTGCATAGGCGGCTCATTTTTCAGTCACACCCAGTGCGACCTTTGAAAAAAGTCAGTCACGCCTTAAATTAGGTCACAAAATGCAAGTGATCACTTGCAGTCTGGAGCCCTGCGTTCTCTTCTGTTCTTCTCCAATGTCAGTGCTCCAGAAAGCGGGTTAAGTGAAAATGGACAGTTGGTTCACCCTGAATTGAGGGAGTTCTTGGTTTTCTGTAGCAAAAACAGAAATCACTTTAAATCAGTAACTTAATCCATGAATCTGAGCTGTTTGCTGGTGGGTTTTCCTCAACAAACCTAGTGTTTTCTCTCTGTCTCCTCTGTCCTGATAATCACTTTTAATGATATTCACCTTTATTAGCCAAGTATGTTACACACACACACACACACACACACACACACACACACGGAATCTGTCTCTGGTACAAAACCAGGGCAGCCATCTGTGGCACCATCTCTCTCTCACACACCTTTGTTATGTTGGAAACTCCTGTTACCACCTGTATCAGTTTCAGGGTTTGGGGACATGGGCTGAAGGTTGGATCACATTGCTCTCTCTTCTAGACACACCCATATGCTGAAACAAATAACGACACCGCTCCTTCCATGGTTCCAGACTAAAATATCCCCAATGGCATTTCAGCAAACTGAATATCTTTGGGTTTTGACCTGTTGGTTCAATAAAATAAGACATTGAAAGACTGTGTCTCCTTAGGCTGTTTTAAATTATAATGGCCATTGGTTTACTGTTTTCAGCTATTTTATAAATAAAACAGTTATTCAAATGAATATCTTGTGGATTAATTGACAGTGAAAATAGCTGCAGCTCTACAAAATGATGTGATGGTGGGCAGAGGCTTTCCTAGTCTTGAAGTTCAACACTGTTTTATTGGAGAACAATTTAAGATGGATAAAAAGTGGAAAGGTGCATAGTTAGAAGAGGAGTGCTGATGAGAGCACATTTCTGTAATCAGTGAAGCAAGAGAACCATCATAGCAAGCAGGCATTTGCATTTGAAAGTAGCTGCACAGGGGAACAGTGCAGGCCTAGTGGTCTGTGTCTGGCATTTGTCATTGTGGATGTGTTGTATTGATCACATCCAAAGGAAGACATTAGCAAGGGCTGTCTGGCTTTGACAGCCTCTCAGAGGGGGGGTCTCCACTAACAGTCAGACTAACTGTGAGCAGCAGCATTTTAAGACACATCTCACAATGAGTTTATCCTAATATAAAGGACACTTGTGTAATAATTAACCCAAGCACATTTGCTTTCAGTTATTCCCAGTTTTATGGTTAATTAAATGTCACTATATGCTGTTTTGGTGGTAATTCTGAAAAGCAGTGAGTTAAGTGTGTAATGTGTCTAAGTAAGAGCATACAGAATAGATGATGGCTGATGACAGGAAAAATCTGTTTCCTGTTTTAGACAGATGGTATTGAAAGAGCAATAAATAGAACTAGAAGAGCAATCTAGCATTAACACATTGTTTTATGTTCAGCTGGAGACTTGGTGATGTGCTTTTTACCAATTTTACCATTTACAGAACGTTCATGTGGAGAGAGGTGTTTGTTCTGAGGGGCAGTTTAGATTTGTGTGTTGTCTGAGTTGACTCGGTTCTGTGGCATTTGTAAAGAATACCTATAGGTAACACATGATCCTTATCTAAAGAGAAAGTTGCTTGTACTGACTTTTCGTCCTAATTGTGCTTCCTTTTTTTTTTCTCACTCCAGGGCGTAGAGTGACATCTCTTTCCTGCCCAACCCTTGACAGGTTTTGCAATAAACAACCTCCATCTTCAAATAGCTTGCAAGACTGAAATGTTACTGAGGATCAGTTGCTGCATGGCAGTGCTCCTCTGAGTCATCAAATGTACTTTATTAAACCTAAACTCAGTTCTAGGTTTAGTTGTAAGATGGCCTTTGTGAAAGTTCTCCTTACTTGAGAGGTGATCTCAGTCTAGTCTAAGGATTCTTACTGATTGGTAAGAGGCTTTTTAGCTGCTGTGATTTTTAATAGCTATGAATTCTTCTCAGTGACAGCAAGGCCATATACTCTCACCTGATTCCTAGTTGTTCAGATGAGTTGCAGCTAGGATTTGGTTCATAGTTTCTCATGTGTACTACAATGTTATAGTTCGTTGTTTGGTTTTCTGTGCATGTTCTTTGTTTGCATCGGTTACCAGACTGAAATAGGAGTGTGAAGGTAGCTTTATCGTGGTCTTCTGCTGTAGGTCCGTCTCACCACAACCTGAAATAGCGCTACTGACGCTTCTATTTGTGTCACTCCACAGCACTTTCAGTATGACTAGACTATGTTCGAGCCCAAGCTTCACATCATATGACTGTTAGACAGCTTTTATCTTATGATCATGATCATATTGCCTGGCTGAAATGGGCCTTGTCTTTAGGGTTACCATATCAATGTGATGTTAAGTGCTCTGCTACAGTGTAACTTCTCTTCTTTCTTTTTTTCTGTTTCTCACAGTGAATAGACATAACCACTTGAAGGACTTCATGTTGGTAGTGTCAATAGTCATAGGCATGGGTGGCTGCTGGTTTGCTTACATCCAGAACCGCTACTCTAAGGACCACATGAAGAAGATGATGAAAGACCTGGAGGGCCTGCAGCGAGCTGAACAGAGTCTACATGACCTACAGCAGAAGTTAGGGTTTTTCCTGTCACCCACACAGCAAACTGTTGCACTCTGCAAGTACTGTATTGTGCACACCTACCATTGTTTTTATATTTCCACACAGTATTACATGTGGCACAGCTTTTGTTTTCACATTAGAACTTTATGCAATACTAGCTTGAAACCTCAGTGTGAGAGGAGTAGTAGGTTAGAAGTACATTCATGTATTGGTTGGCTACCATTAGCTTTCTTTGACTGGTTAGAAGGGTGAGGTTTGCTCGTAAACTTAAGAAGAGGATATCTCTTTACTGCTGCCAGAAACACGCCAAGTGTAAGTACACATCACCTAAAATGAAAAGTGAGCTGCCTTTACTATAGTTTCATTGCCCACAAGTGCATTGAAATCCAGTGCGTTTTGAAATTGGAGAATGTCTGTGCAGCTTTTCTGTGATTGAAAAGCAGCATGAAGAGGACTCTTGTCATAATGTATTGTTGACCGGAGTTTTTAGAAACACTTGCTGGTTTATCACGGTGTTCCCACTAAGTGTACTCAAACTAGAAAAGGGTTAGGAATTTCTTTTTTTTTTTTTTTTTTTTTTTGTGTGGAAAGACAGACATGACAGTTGATGGTTAACGTTAGCATGTTGTAGCATCATGTTGCTCAATGAAAACATCTTTTGAAACAATGATTTTCTACTGCATATTTTATAAAAAGCAGTTTTTGATATTTTTTTGACCGAGATTGAGTGTGAAGTGGCCATAATGAAATGTATTTAACCTTTGGGGATGTCTCTCATCCCCACTCACTGGCCACAGTAAGGAGCAGTGACAGGTGTTGCCACATGACTGCATAACATTCCTGGCTTAAAGCTCGGAGACATGGAACAGAGAGAGATGAGCTGTTGTAGGCATCAAAAATTTAGTCTGTTTTACTATAGTCATTTGTTTTGTTTTAATAAATGAGCTACAGTGCAATAAGGGAGTGGGCCATTTTTGTGGCTTTTGCTGTTGAATTCCAACCAAAAAAGCCATTGGTCGCTTCAGTAGGGACAAATACAGTAAGTGAGGTCAAACTCTGTCCCTCTGATAGACTGTCAGGTCAGGCTGCGTGTTGCCTCTGTGGCTTTGTGATGAGTTGTGAAAGCACATTTGTCGCTGCCAACTTTGAAGTGTGCTCTGACATTTCTTCCCTGCTATGCTAATTGCTCATATTTAATTCTCTTCTGCAGATCAACCCCAACAGCATTTATCAATCTTTAAGGCCAACAACAATAGGCATAATTCATTATGGTCTACATATATCTAGATGTCTGGAACTGCTTCATATACAGTACCTGGACCATTGCAGGCTTTGCATATCCCAGTGTAATGGCTGTTTATTCAACACTGGAGTATAATTTGTCTGTGAACAGTTCAATAGTGTTGTGCAGCCTCATTTAAATCTAATCTGTGGTGGATAAGAGCTCAGTGGGAAGATAAACGAACCTAATGTCTTGTACCCATTTTTCCTAGAGATATGATATTGATATAATATTGATATGATAGGTCAGTGTAACCACCAAGAAGAGGCTTCTTTTACATTGCATGCATTTGGATCTGAGAGAGAGAGAGAGGTATGTCCTCTGTTTGTAGCCATGTCTTTCTTTCTGATCCCTGCTGCCAGCTGCCCTGTTTCCATACCTTCAAAGAGATCCCGTGGTGGTATCAGGTAGCCTGGCCCAGCCATAGCTTCCCTATTGGGAGATAGTGGGAGGAGGCTTTGACTAGAGCTGGATTTCCTGGGTGCCTTTTAGAATGCTGTTTGACCCAGCCCCCGCCTCACTGGTGGGAGGTGGTGTTAAGTATGACTGCTTAACATATCAGCTCTACTGCTAATTCACCCACATTTGGACTGGGCTGTGCTGTGCATACACACACCCTGGAAAAGGACTGCTGACAAGGACAACAACATTACACTTCATTTTAATAACTGAAGTAGTTTAGTTTCTGCACAGAATTATTGTTATTCACATGTATTAGTAATGTATAAAATCTTGTGGGTTATCGTTTACCTTCTCCTGCAAAGTCTGCAGATATATTACATCTGTGTCCTGTGATCCCTGCAGTGCAGGTCAGCTGAAATGGCATTACACGTCTTTTCTCTGGACACTGTGGCTCTTCTAGTGCTTTTGCTTGTTAGCTAGTGAATAGAGGTCAGGGTTGAAGACTGTTGACCAACCAGATTTTCCATGGCTTGCCGTATGGATCAACTTTCATTTCTCTGCCTTTCTCTGGTTCCTCTGTTGTTGTTTAGCCTGATTGGGATGAGAGTGCTGCTCCCTAGTGACTGAAAGACTGTATTACTTAAATGTCAGAAAAGCGTTAAGAGACCAATAACAGAATTTTGTTCAGTTGTCACAACCAGTATGGTGTGTGTCTAAGCACAAATAATTGTCATGGGTGACTAGAGTAGACACTTTTTCTTAAGTCTAAAATATCCCACACACAAACAAACACATGGAGCACTGGGTACCACACTGTGCTGTTCTAAAGTTATATATTCACAGCTGTTCCCATTCTTGGCTCTGTTCCTTCTGATGGCAGATTGTTGAGGCACCTAGCAGATGACATTGCGCTTTGTTTTCTACATGTTAGCCATTACTTCCGGTGATGCATGACTGATGGAAGTCCTACATTTTACACATGCATGCTTAAACGTCATGTCTGCCCTTAGAAAACCATAGTGGTAGTCACTATTTCTTTGTTTGTCCTTTTTTAAGCAGCCAGTGATGACAAACTTCAGTTAAAAGTAATTGCTTCTCTCCTGGTCCTCAGGCTCCAGATTGCCCAGGAGGAGCACCGTACAGTAGAAGTGGAGAAGGTAACCCTGGAGCAGAAGCTGAAGGATGAGATCAGCGCAGCCAAGCAAGAGGCCCAACGACTCAGAGAGCTGCGTGAGGGCACAGAAAATGAACTGAGTCGCCAAAAGTATGCAGAAGAAGAGCTAGTACAGGTACTCTGCAAGTGATAAATGTCATTTAAACATGGATCTTATAGTTTTTAGTTGGGGAAAAAAAATAAAGTTCAGCACAAAGGGGAAGCACTAAAACAGATTGAATAATGTTTTATAAATGTCCAAGGTGACATCTGCACAGTATACTTAGGTCTGTCAACACATTCACACTGGCCATAGTATAAATACACCCCCTGAAGTCTTTGTCCATTAGGAATCTGGCAGGAACAGCAGCCCACACAATCAAGCAAAACATGAGTATTTGATTGGCGTTCGCATTCAGTGTCGGGGGAATCGCAGTTCTCTTATTTGCTCATTCATTGCTCCTCGACTGATCCGAAGTCGTTCAGGTTAAGAGAGGATTGAGGATGTCCTAGAGCTCTTGTATATAAGATGATCTAAGACGCACGACTTAGACTTATGCAATTCTCCTGTTTTTAAAAGAAAAAAAATCTAAAAATTAATAAAATAGCTGTTGCTAAAAATGTGTTGGTCGATAATATAAAGGTTATGAATGTGTTGTTTTTATATCTTAATTTGCCCCTTAATATTTGAGATGTGTTGCAGGTGCGCATGGCTCTGAAGAAGTCAGAAAAGGAGTTGGAATCACGGAGTAGCTGGTCACCACCAGAGTCTCTCCAGAAGTGGCTGCAGCTCACCCATGAGGTGGAAGTGCAGTACTACAATATCAAGAAGCAGAATGCTGAACGGCAGCTCCTGGTGGCCAAGGAAGGGGTAAGCATGTAAAAACCTAAAGCAAATGCCATGCTGATGTGTTGTGTATATTGTAGTGCTTAATTCACTAAGATGGAATACATTTCAGATGAAAGCAGTCAGAAGTAGTCTTGATTATGGTCTTGGAAAAAACAAACAAAAAGGGTAACCATGTACTTGAATACTCACTGGACTGTTGTTGCATCTGGGAGCAAGAGTCCCCTTTAACACAGTGTGTGGATAATCAACAGAGCTGAGATATAAGTTGGGTCATTTGTTTTCCCAGGCAGAGAAGATAAAGAAGAAGAGAAACACTCTCTTTGGTACTTTCCATGTGGCTCACAGCTCCTCCCTGGATGATGTGGACCACAAAATACTGGCAGCAAAGTAAGTCGGTGAATGTAATGGCACAATATTTTATGGAAAACTTTTGAGCACTGGCCAAAGTAGCATTTTTTTTTTTCTTTCCTGATCTTTTGTAGGCAAGCCCTGGGTGAGGTGACCGCTGCGCTTCGGGAGAGGCTACATCGCTGGCAGCAGATAGAGATCCTCACGGGTTTTACCATCGTCAACAACCCAGGTCTTCCTTCACTGGCTTCAGCCCTCAACCTTGATCCCAGCTTCATGGGTGGCAGAGCGACACCTCAGCACTTCATTATGTCTGACGACATGGACGACATGGACGAGGACTTCTTGCCTGGAACTCTGCAATGTAAGAGTTCATCCGAATCTGTCGTCCAGTCAGTGGGAGTTAGCAAACGAACCCCTAAACACTCCAGGACCCTGCTGGGGAAATCCAAAAGTCAGCCCACATGAGAATTTGGACCTTTATTGCTACATTTATGTGAATTTGTCCTTGTGATTGAGGTAGTGAGGGTCACATGTCTGTGACTGAATGAGTGTTATTGTATAATGTGTACAGTACAATGTAATTTCCCATATTTGTCTTATACACAATTCCAGTTTAATGCTTTTTGTTAATTGTTCTTACTTTAGATAAGTGTTAACTTGACTCTCATTTGATTGTGGAGACTGAAGAGTCCTGTGACTTTCCTCTGGAAATGGAACTGTGAAGAAAATATATTTAATGAGAACAAGTTTTTGTGGTGACGTATTTGTAATGGTTGTGTCCTAACATGTTCAACACACCATTTCAACCTGCATCCAAAGGAAAAGTGTTATAAGCAATTGGTGTCCAGTAAAAATTCTTATTTAGGTTGAGTGAACAGAAGCTGCCCAACCTTTTGTATGATTTTATGTAGGAAGTAATTATTTTCATGGTAGAATTCTTGTATAAACATATGACAGATGTTAGCTAATCAAGAAAAGTCCATAATGCTTTGTAGCCATCTTATTATGGGCTGTATATTTGACTTATTTTTATGGCAAAACTTAGTACATGCAAGGTTTGGGTTTGACTAACTACAGGTAAAGGTTGTACTGCAGAATCCCTTTGCGGCTACACTAGTGAGTAAATCTTTTATTCAACATTAATTGCACTCCCTATCTCGCTCCCCTCTCTTCCTCCTCCACCTTTCTGGCATTTGGCACCCACTGCTGTCTCATTGGCCTAAGGACAGATGGCGCCCGACTGTTGGAACAGCGAGCCAGTGACCTGTGGTCCTTCAGTTCAGACTGTCAGCCCATGTGGAAATATCCTGGTTGGCCATTTATTCAGTCCTCAGTCTGACATCCCTGTCTCTCCCGTTTACTATGATACTTTTTAATTGGCAGATGGATGCATCTGGAAGTTGAAAAACTACTTCGTGCTGCGTTCATCTAAAAACCCCTCTGACCTTGGCCTAATTGCTTGTTTATCACATTTACGCCCTCCTCTTAATCTCGTCACCACCCAGTGCCCCTCTTGCTTTCTCTCCATAGTAATTTATCACTTTGTTTCAATATAGAGCTTATTATTCTTTTTTCTTTAATTTAAACAAGAAATCTTAGTAACATCCTCACATTTATTTTTTTCTTTTTGCTTAATTTAATATATGTCCTTGAACGGAGGAGAGATAAAACAGGAGTGTTGGGATTTTACCATGTAGAAACAGTGTGCAGTAAAAATTAGTAAATGGGATTTATCGTTTAAACTTAATATTAAAATGTGTTTTATCAGTTAAAGTCAAGAGAAATGTGTCCCAGCACCTGAATATCTTTCCACTGACTTTCCACTTAGTCTACCTTTCTCTGTCAAACTTTATTTTTCGACTAGTTGTTGATAATGCTGTTGTTTTGTGCCCACAGCTCCCAGTATGATGTCCCTGCGCCAACGCCACATTGACGCCCAGCTGGCCATGGGCTCCCAGAGGTTGGTAGAGAATTCCCTGATTGGGGGGCAGCAGGGAGAGGGAACCTCGTTCCCATCCAAGCCTAGGCCTACCTTCAGAAAGTCACGCAGCCATTCGATTGGGCAACTCGAGTGTTTCTCTTTGCCTCCTCTTTCCTCGGCTGTATCTCACCCCTCCATCATCTGTATCTCCAACCCAAACCCGCACTTGCGTTCCTCCTTGTCCACTTCTTCCTCCTGCTTACCCAGCTCTGTGGGTGGTGTAGCTCCTCATTCTTCCCATATACATCATGCTTCTTTTCAGCCCATGGACCCCATTCCTGATCTCACCTCAGATGTCTCCAAAACACACTCCTCGTGCAGCGACACCTTTGGGTACCTGTCTCTTCATTTCAGCACACACGTTGCATGTGTGTGGGTGTGTTTTCAACCACCTGCCATCATTTCATTTTTCTAAACGCCTAGGTAGATTTTTTTTATAGATCATTTTTCCCTTTAATTTCATTTTATTTTCTGATGGTTTCCTTAGATATTTCTTTTCCACATTTTTCTTTCATATCATTGCACCTGGTGAGTCATTACAGAATCTATGCATTTCCTCTTTTTCAGCCTCATTCTGAGTGTTCCTGGTGTTCTTTGCCTGCACAACTTACAGTGTGGAGTCCCGGTGTCTGGGCTGTGCCTACTGTGTTCATGGCTTTGTAGGCATAGTGTAAATAAACCTCAGCATGGACTGTTTTTATCATTATTTTTGTTGCTAACGGGTTTTTTTTTCCTTCCTCACAGGGACCTAAATCGCTCTGACTCTGACTCTTCCCTTTCACTGTCCCAAGTTGGTGATCGGCTGTCTGCCTACAGCTCCAGGGGGCACCTAATGAAGCCCTCTTCTCTCATACATGGCCTGGCCGGCCGTGCAGATGATACTGTCTCACTGCATTCTCACACCCATAATGGAGGGAACCGCATTCACGAGGGCAGTCCAGCAGACCCCGCCCCTGACAGCCCCATACTCATGAAGAAGATATATGGCATGGAGAAGTCCCCCAGCCTTGGAGAGATCAACAGTCTGTCGGAGTCGTCCCGCTCTCTCAGCCCCAACTCCACTGAACCTGATACACCGTCACCTACGGGAGTGCAAGCAGGGGCTGTGGGGGCCAAGGGTAGCACCCGCCTCCCACAGCTGTCATCCAAGAAGGGTCCCCTGGAGGAGGACAGTGGCTCAACAGGAGAAGACACAGATTCCACTGCCAGCCGCAAGAAACACACCTTCAAGATCTTTAAGAAACAGAAGAAATAAGGGCTACATGAACTATGGACTATCAGAATTGTCTGACTGTACTTCTCTGGTTTGTTTTTGGAAAAAAAAAATGTTTCGGGTTCGTTAATGTTCAAATGATCGCACAATTTGTTGCTGTTGCATCTTTTTGTAGGTACAACACCTACGGTGAGAATCTGTGGACTGTGGGAGCAAGCTTTTCAGTTCTATCTGCTTATTTAGTCAATGTTAAATATGTGGGGGAAATGGGTTGATTTGTATATTGGAATGTAAAGTATTATTTATTCTGCAGGAAATTGTTCCAGTCTCAAAGGGAACCCTGTCTCCCAGTGTGGTTTTTCTTTCTTGTCCTACAATCTATAACATTTTGCATGTCCTCACCTTAGTTTGACTGATAATGCGAATGCACTGTTTGCTTGGTTCTTGTTAACCTGCTTAGATGCCACTTGATGTTTCTTTTATTACTACCTAACCACCTAGCCTATAACTCCTAATTGAATGCGCAGCTCTATTTTTCACTGAGTACTTTGTTTTTATTGATTGTTACAAGTTTTTCTGGTTTTTGAAATGATGCAGTCGACTCAGATTTCACTTGCTAATAATAATTTGCACCCTTGGATTACCCAAGAGCGCCTGAATGGCATCATCCTGTATACAAAATAGTTGGACAAGAGGTAAATCTCACTATAAAGTTACGAAAGGACCATCAAATTGTAGCATTAGAACGTTTTCTATAGGGTTTTTAATGTTTAGGTCTCAGTGCATTTACGAGTGACAGAGAAATGCTTTGCAGGGATAGCCAGCTGTTAACCACGGATTAATTTTTGGATTTACATGTGCTCCCACTGAACCAGGAGGAAAACAAGCCAAATGACCAGCTTGGATGTAGGTTTTCTCTTATTATTAGGCAGAATTGTTACCAAAAATGTATACCAAAATGTTAGACAATTAATCTAAAAACACCAGAGACTGTGACAATGAACTTTGATTAATATTAAATTATTACCTGAGCTACTAGCTTTGTACCTCAGCAGCATATACCAGGAAGGACATCATTTATCAAAGACCTTAACATAAAACACTTTTTTATTTACAGCTGTTCAAACAGTCACTATGCTTTGGTTCAGTTTTGGCTTCTGCCACCTTTTGTCTTTTTATTTCTGTTTTAGTGATTAGGTGGGTGATGTAAGCTTCACAGCAGTTTGTCAGTGATGGCTGTGTGCTGATAAGGGCTAAGGTACAAGCGAAAATGTTTGTATAAGATGGAAGTTGTAACCACTTTGAGATCCACCTTTTTATGGAAGCTCAAGTTATGGAGGTAAAAGTCCAATTGTATCAAAGTGCCAAAATCACACTCTCTGTCTGAGGCCTTTGCGTGTGCTGTGGCTATTTAAGCCTATTTTACAAAGAACATAAAACCACTTCATATATACTGTATATCCTGAGTTTAAATGCTGAATGTCCAAGGGTATTGTTTCTGTAACAGTATCATATGTTTACATTTGTTACAAAAAAAAATCCTATGTTCAGATTGCCATAACAAAGAACATTTGGCCAGTTTTAATACTGACCGCTTCATTCGAGCACACAACTATGCATCGGTAGTTGTAGGTGATCACTAAAATAGAAGGGACACCAGTAGACTTAGGGTGCTTCTGATCAATGAACAACCAAAAAGTGCTGCAAAAGACACAGTTGGCCTCCCCCAGCCTCTTAATGAAACAGGTGGTTTGGACATGCTTAAATATTTTATTTTAGAAACAAGCTAAAAAAAAATTCCTACAGGTACTTTTTTAAAGTGTCATTTGTACCTCTTTTTGCACGACACAGTTGTAAATGCCACCTGAATGAGTGTGAGCGTGTATCTCCGCTCCTGGTATAATGCACTGTAATGTTGAAGCATGTCAACTGCTGTAACAAAAACCTATATTGGGTTTCAAGAGCAGATCAGTTTAAGCTCTTTACTTAACACCCTGTTTTCCTTTTCTCTTTATTTTGAGCTCCTATTTATGAATACAATATATTTGTACAGAGAAAATGATAATTTTGCATCTTCTGTGATGGTCTAGACTTTTATGGCACACCTGCATGATAGCAATAAACTATTTTGAATGAAGGTTGAGCTGATTTTTCTTTAGAATTGTGTTGTTCAAATGAAATTCCTCAGACAAAACAACCAAAACAATTTTTATTCAAATGTTAATGTAGACTCTTAATATCAGGTTAGTGAAAGTAGTTTGACCCTAGGGGTGTAACCCAGTGCACTGAGTATACAGTAACTGGGTGGGGCTTTGTGATTTTAAATATTTACTTAAGCGTCAGCATAACTGAGGTGGAGCAGGATTAGGTCCGGGTCCCCGGGCTTCTTGTTTCTTATCTTAGCATGAAGATATTTAAAGGACAGAAAACACCGTGTGGACCATGGATTTCCATACACTGTACAAATACATCTGTCAGTTTTGCCTCACTATGCAGGTAGGAGAGGGTTTCCCTTCATGATCTGATACACTGGCCCAATCTGCTTTCAGCAAAATTCATTAGCAGCTATGTGTTGGTCTTCTGCCTCGTACAGATTGTCTGGGGATTAGATGAGGTGAAGCTCCTGAATCCTCCAGAGGAGCCACTGACAGAGCATCATTTGGAAATACTTTTCTCTTGTGATGGACCTGCTATAGTACAGCTGGACTGTATCATATTTTTTGACACTGGTTTCACTACCACACTTCCGCTAAGACAGTGGCGCTGTGTTCCTGGTGAACCTAAAATAAAGGCTGTGAAACTGAACCTGCCAGATTGGTTGGTGTATCAAGCTGATGGGATTGTTCCAGACTCTCAGTGGGTGCTGAGTTGCATCCTTCGAGCCTTGGTCAGATACAATGGATTTGACGACACTGAGAGGTCTATCGCAGCTCAGGATGTGGCAACCTTGCATCCTAAGCCCTTCTTTAGTCGACCTGTCAAACAGCATCAACTCTGTATTGACTGGAGCACACAGATGCTACATTTAACTCAACGGTTTTTAAAAAAGCAATGCCCTTTAGAGCAAGGTAAGGTGGAAGCTGCTCAGACTGAGTTGATAAAGGCACCAGTTCAGGCCAAGCTTTGTAAATGTCTAGATTTTTTCTGTCATGTTAGAATCAGAGAGCACCATCCTGATGTGTCCAAAATGTAAATGTCATATAGTACTGTAAAGAATAACCATTTTGATGGGTGTAAAACTTATTCTAATCTTCCAAACCCCAAGTGAAAATGATGTATGTCATTCAGAAACAGTGCATTTGCTGTCTTCAATTTATGCTTCAACTGGAGAAACCTTTGGGATCAAGAAGACACTGGAGCACTACAGCAGTGACGTTCTGGAGTATTTGCGTACTAAAGCCATATTTTTTCCATGGTAAGACAAACTTCACATCATGTACTCTATAAACTAGCTTTCTATGATGTTAATGCAGATTTTAGGCTATGTACGGTTAGTTAACCAAGTGTGTGTTGTGTTTATGCCAGGTGTTCATTTTCCATCTGGATATTTCTGACCAGACACTGCCAGAAAAAGTTGTGTGGCATCATACAACACATAGGCTCCTATAATAATTATGTCACACCAACAGTGCTTCTTACAGAATCAGGTAAATTTAAGATTTTCCTGTTCCCTGTCAGATTTCTTCATTATGTGACTATCCCGCACCATTAGTCTCTCTGTTGCTTCCTGTGTCCAGGCCAGCTGCATATCCAAATAAATGGAGAGTCTGAAGAATCCTCCGCATTTCTCTCTCCATTCAAGGTGCCTTTAAGTGAGTGGTGCCAACTCAGCTTGATGTTGCAGGGGAGAACGGTGAGCAGTCTCTTGACAAAGGATGCCTTTAGAACATGTAAAGAATGATAGTAATGAAAATGAAAGTGGTCATTTTTGCTGCACATTAGGTGACTGTCTCCATGGTGTGCATGGATAAGGAGCAGAGGACTGTTCGGTCTGCAGAGCATGTGTGAGTCTATTTCTACCACGATCATGCTCAAACTATCTTAACTAGGGAAATAAAAATGCACTTCAAGTGTTCTGAATGTCTGTTAACAATGTCTGTTTACAGGTTCAAATATAATGTCATGCTGGATGACACAGAGGGATATTTTGTGATTGGTGGAGGAAAATATATAAATGGTGTGGAAGGGTATTTTGGACCAGTGGTTTACTACCGGAACCAAATATCTCCTCAGAGCATGGTAATGTCCCACAGTTGGTTATTGTCTATAGTGACTGTCTCCTTCATTAGAGTCTGATGATTTCTCTCTCCTCCAGTCTGACGTTGTTATTCCAGATGTTGTTAGGGCTGTGAACCTGACTGGCTGGCTGCAGACCTGTCAAGAATTTCGTTTTGAGATGAACATGAAAATTGATGGCTATTCTCTCATGGGGACAGAGTCTGGTAGTAGGATAACATATATCCACTAGATGGTGCTAATATAATTGAAATATTCAACTGAATCTACAAATAAACTTCTTTTTTCTCATCAGAGAGCGGTTTTGATCCTTTCCATAAGTGGATGGTAAATGGCAGACAACCTTTAAAGTCACAGTGTAAACTGTGGGAAGCAACTGCTCCTCATAGAAGACAAGCTGCTAAACTGGTCAAGTTCTTGTCTGTCAAACATGGTAAGAGATAAACTGCTCAAACTTAACTGGGTTCTCACTGGTACAAAATATCCAGAGGTGGGAAGTAACAATAACTCTGGTTACTCAGGTACAGGACTTGACTATGATGTTAACGGACTTTAAATTCTACACCACCATATTTATCTGATAGATGTTAAATTGCATAATATTCTTTTTACATACTTACTTGCACCATCTACAAAACTGACATACAGATTACATGATAACATTGTAATAAAGGGACCACTCTTCACTATGAGTACTCAAACCTTTATAAATACACCTCTTAACATCTGGAGCTTTTCATGTTAAATTTTCCTTAAGTGGCTTCAAGACTGCAAAACTGCCCTAATCCTGCCCTAATATTTCTTATCTTGTTCCACCTCTCTGTATAAAGAATAAATACAATTATCAAAAACATTTGAGCAAATAGAAATATCCTAGATATCTTGTGCGTCATTTATAGACATTTCCCCAAACGGACATACTGAAATTGGAAATATCGGGATCACCACTAAAACTCAAAATAAAATCTCTGGGCTTGAACAAAGTTTGGCTGCACAGTATGGGTTCAGAATGAATAACAGACTTGCTTGTGACAAAGTTTTCTCTCATGATTCACTGACGATGTCCAGAGTTAATTTAAGATGAATGTGTATAATTTTTGACTTGCAGGAGGAAGAGGAGTCAGCCTGCCAGCTCTGGGCAAAGCACTGTACTCCTTATCGCTTCATAAGCTGGGCAGAGTGCACAGCCCTGGAGTGGTCAGGGCAATATTACCACTGCTGCACCAAGCCGGCTGCCTAGCTGATAACCGAGCTCTGTACATGTTGTCAGTGCTCTACAGCACTGGCCTGGGAGTCAAGAAACAGCCCAGTAAGGTGTGTGCCATTGGGTTGGTCATAGTGAAAGTATGCCTGTGGTGACTATGCAACTGTTTTTATAGTCTGTCATGCCCCTGTGTTTGGTGCAGGCTTGGCTCCTGGCTCTGCTGGCAGCCCAGAAGGATGATCGACTGGCACTTCTGCATCTTGGGACCCTGCATCACCAGGGACTTCACGGTGCTCCCACAGACCCAGACCTGGCTTATGGTTATTATGCAAACATTGCTCAACAAACAATAGTGGACCGTCAGAAGCCCACACCACAGCAGGTAATGTGTACCTGGTGTATTTGGATGCTTTGGTATGCTCATTTTACACATCTTGTTTAATCCAAAAGTGATATATTGCTACTGTTTGTTGTACCAAAAGCTTTTCATTGGAGTAGCTCTTATGGTTTCTTTTCCATATCCCCTCCCCAAGACAATGTTAACCATTTCTTGCCTAACATGACCTGTTATGTTAATGGCATGATTTAAATGATCATTAACACATGTGAAGCAAATCTGAAAAAATAGCAATTACAGTATACAGGATATTCTGTCATAACTTGTGACGCCAGACATACAGTAATTGAGATGCAGAGGCTGACAGGTAACTCTTACCTAGTCCACACATATTTTCCTCCTTTTATGTAGCTGTGGGTTTGTGAATTAATATGAGTGTATATGTGATATGCTAATACATTCTGCTCCCCTTACCATGGTTATAGCAGATTTCTATCATCAATAATTTGACCTTTGTCACTGCTTTCCACTTTCTGGAATTACTGCAGTGCTCAGACGTGGTTTACACATCTTCTATCTTTCCTCTGTTTTTTTAGACATATGTTGAGGCTGTTTTCCTGAACAATGATGAGATATTGAATCTCCAGACGAATGAAGACCATCATATTTTTCAGTGGCTAAAACTGCAGGCACGCAGGGGAGCAGCTGAGGCTGAGGTACTTCTCTGTTTTTAGGTTACAAGAGCAGAACATATGAAAGCACAGAAGGTCAGATAAAAAAAAACCAAAAACATTATGGCATAATTTTTAAGAAGTGGGGGCAGCTGTACATGCACTTGGCACAGGTTGGGAACTTCTGTTCTTCCAGTTTGTGTGTTAGTAATAACCAGCAACTGTCTTGCAGCAAACACTTGCCCGCATGCTGTTCTGGGGTCAGCAGGGAGTGCCTACAAACATCCAAAGGGCTGTGAGACACTACGAAAGGGGGGCCGTCCAGTGGGAGGACCCAGTGTCGATGTATGACTATGGCATAGTCCTTCTGCAGGTCAGATTTACAGTTCTTGTACTTTAATAAATGATCTGCCAACTCATCTGGAGTTATTATTATGTATTATTTCATATAATTCAATATAAATTGGTTTTCTTTAGGGGCATGGGGTTAAAAAGGACATTCCAAAAGCTCTCACTTTCCTGAAGAAAGCAAAGGAGAAGGTTAGGTATTGTTAAATGTTAATTCGTAATATATGTGTTTATAATTCATATTGTAACATCATCAGCCTACTTTCTGATGCAAGAATCCATTCAAAATGTGCACACCATACTGTATATTATTTCTCACACTCGTATGTCTCACAGGGATTTGTTCCTGCAATCAATGCCTTGGCCTGGTACTATGAGAAGTTTGAGCAGGACTACAAACAGGCAGTGCAGCTGTGGGAACAAGCTGATCTCCTAAAGTGTCCAGAGGCTGCTTTCAATCTTGGTGTCATGTACTCACAGGGTCTGTATCCAGGAAAAGCTGCTGATCAGGTTAGCGCAACTGTAAAAACACCTTGAACTAGTATACTAGCACACTAGTCTTGGATGCTTTACTGCGGTCTTTCCCCACAGTATATGGCCTATCGGTACTATCTGAAATCAGGAGAGAGAGGGCACATCAAGGGAGCAATGCTCACGGCACACATCTGGACCACTGGAATACCCGGCCATATCAACAGACGTCCATTGGATGCCGTTTTGTTAGCTACTTACCCTTTTATTGATTTCATAGAACATATACAGTATGTTATGTCCTGCCATGATATGTCATGACTGAAATGTTTTTTCAACTGCCTGTAGGTGGGCGAAGTGGGCAGCTGAGCACAACGGATATCTGGGCACCGTCTTACGAAAAGCTTTGGATTCCTATCTCAAGAGTGACATGTAATCTTTTTCACGCTTGACATGATCATGACCAGTAGCAATTGCAGTTGCACCAAATAAACACTTGTGATTTTCAACAGGTTTAGCGCACTGTTCTACTACATGATGGCTGCTGAGTCGGGGTACGCAGCTGCACAGTTCAATGTGGCATATCTGTGTGAACAAAATGCTGTGAGTTATAGACATGTATATCTGAAATTTCACATGGGCATGTAGCTGTTTTATTCATTGAGTAGTCATTCTTAGACATTGTTTTCACTCTGTATGCCTATAGAGAAATTTTCTGGATCCAGCTTTTGCAACACACTGTATGTGGAGATATTACAACATGACAATCCAAAGTCAAAATCCTGACACTTATGGTAAAAAAAAAAACAGCTTTTGAAACTAAATCTTTGCAGACTTGTGCACAAACATAACATAGTTTATCTGAGCTCTAATTCTGTTGCCTCTCCAGCCTTGATTAGGCTAGGTGACCTGCTGTATGAGGGGCGGGGTGACGGACAGAAAGATTTAATTTCTGCTGCAGAGATGTACAAACTGGCAGCACTAAGGAATGATCCACAGGTCTGCTTCTTTAATTCAGTACTCTGGTTGTGTGTGTTTATTTTTCAAGTCTGTATTTATTCATAATTGTGCATATGCACATACTGTTCTTCTACAGGGATGGTACAACCTTGGCCTTCTTGCTGAAGAAGGTTACAGGCTGCCACTGTCGATACTGACTGAACTCGGCCTTTCAGAGCTGTACCTGGCAGACAACAGTTTGCTTCTAAGTGCTTTATACAAAAGGTCTCTTTGAATTGTATGTCTGTGTAATCAGCTGTGGAAGTGCAGCATTTTGAAAGGAAGTCTCTTGTCTTCTCTTCCAAAAGATGCAGAGACTCAGGAGATACAGATTCTTACGTGCCTTGCAGCCTTGCCCTCTTCAGTGTGTATCTTCAGTTGTTCCAGAAGGACTATGGTGCTGCCATTAAGGTTGGTGTGACATGCTGAAGCTACATTAGTAACCACAGTAAATACCTGCCGTCATGTATCTGTGGTACTGTACATTACTACCGAAGCATTTTGCTTTTTGACAGTGTTAAATGGTAGGGAGTCGAGAGAGCAGTGAGGCAAAGTCAGTGTTGGAGGAAGTTCTGAAGTTGTTCGCTAATCATTATTAACCTGATCATATGCTCAGTTTAAAAAGTCAGGCAGTTAAAAGTTGCATTAAACTAAAAGGATCAAGTAACACAAAACTGTACTTCATTAAAGTAATTGAGTAAATGTACAAACTTATTTTTGTACCAATGTGCCTGCACATCAACAGGCATGTCGGTGAAGACTTATAGTGCTGTATTGTGATGGTTTGGTTATAATTTTCCCACAGTTCTCCACTGCCATTGCCATGGTTGCCGCACCAACAATATTCTTCGGTGTACTCAGAAGACGTGTCCTCTCTCTCGTCTAGAAGCAAGATTTGACAGCACAACAAACTAAACAGTAACAGTCAGCCTCAATATTGTGTTAGTTTACATACTGTATGTTTACTATAAAGAGCAATTGTGACTGTTACAAGAATGAATTTTCCTGAAATGTTTTTGTTTGAAACTTTTTTTAATTGTTAAATGAATGTATTGACTTTAAATGAACTTGAATGAACAATAAAGTGCCACATGACCAGCAGTTAGTGTCAAGGTGGATCAAAGATGTTGTTCCTGGATGTCCTTTTGATTCTCATTGAAATGATTCCTGTTAGAAAGTGGATGACCTGCAAATACAGTGCCTTGCGAAAGTATTCGGCCCCCTTGAACTTTGCGACCTTTTGCCACATTTCAGGCTTCAAACATAAAGATATAAAACTGTAATTTTTTGTGAAGAATCAACAACAAGTGGGACACAATCATGAAGTGGAACGAAATTTATTGGATATTTCAAACGTTTTTAACAAATAAAAAACTGAAAAATTGGCCGTGCAAAATTATTCAGCCCCCTTAAGTTAATACTTTGTAGCGCCACCTTTTGCTGCGATTACAGCTGTAAGTCACTTGGGGTATGTCTCTATCAGTTTTGCACATCGAGAGACTGAAATTTTTGCCCATGCCTCCTTGCAAAACAGCTCGAGCTCAGTGAGGTTGGATGGAGAGCATTTGTGAACAGCAGTTTTCAGTTCTTTCCACAGATTCTCGAGTGGATTCAGGTCTGGACTTTGACTTGGCCATTCTAACACCTGGATATGTTTATTTGTGAACCATTCCATTGTAGATTTTGCTTTATGTTTTGGATCATTGTCTTGTTGGAAGACAAATCTCCATCCCAGTCTCAGGTCTTTTGCAGACTCCATCAGGTTTCCTTCCAGAATGGTCCTGTATTTGGCTCCATCCATCTTCCCATCAATTTTAACCATCTTCCCTGTCCCTGCTGAAGAAAAGCAGGCCCAAACCAGGATGCTGCCACCACCATGTTTGACAATGGGGATGGTGTGTTCAGGGTGATGAGCTGTGTTGCTTTTACGCCAAACATAACGTTTTGCATTGTTGCCAAAAAGTTCGATTTTGGTTTCATCTGACCAGAGCACCTTCTTCCACATGTTTGGTGTGTCTCCCAGGTGGCTTGTGGCAAACTTTAAACGACACTTTTTATGGATATCTTTAAGAAATGGCTTTCTTCTTGCCACTCTTCCATAAAGGCCAGATTTGTGCAGTATACGACTGATTGTTGTCCTATGGACAGAGTCTCCCACCTCAGCTGTAGATCTCTGCAGTTCATCCAGAGTGATCATGGGCCTCTTGGCTGCATCTCTGATCAGTCTTCTCCTTGTATGAGCTGAAAGTTTAGAGGGACGGCCAGGTCTTGGTAGATTTGCAGTGGTCTGATACTCCTTCCATTTCAATATTATCACTTGCACAGTGCTCCTTGAGATGTTTAAAGCTTGGGAAATCTTTTTGTATCCAAATCCGGCTTTAAACTTCTCCACAACAGTATCTCGGACCTGCCTGGTGTGTTCCTTGTTCTTCATGATGCTCTCTGCGCTTTAAACAGACCTCTGAGACTATCACAGTGCAGGTGCATTTATACGGAGACTTGATTACACACAGGTGGATTCTATTTATCATCATTAGTCATTTAGGTCAACATTGGATCATTCAGAGATCCTCACTGAACTTCTGGAGAGAGTTTGCTGCACTGAAAGTAAAGGGGCTGAATAATTTTGCACGCCCAATTATTCAGTTTTTTATTTGTTAAAAAAGTTTGAAATATCCAATAAATTTCGTTCCACTTCATGATTGTGTCCCACTTGTTGTTGATTCTTCACAAAAAATTACAGTTTTATATCTTTATGTTTGAAGCCTGAAATGTGGCAAAAGGTCGCAAAGTTCAAGGGGGCCGAATACTTTCGCAAGGCACTGTATATAGGTAATGCATCAAACAGCTCATCTGGACCACCAGCTTTTATATAATACATATTATAAAAGCAGATGTGGCATCACTTTCAGTATCTTCAGTTTATTCTGCTTCTATTTAGTTTCTAATATTTTATGTGTTTAGTCTGTTTTTATGTTTGTTTAGTCATTGTGTAGAACGTAGCCTTTAGTTGTATTTGTTTTTGCTATTTACTGTATAAGTGAGAGCTGTAACACAGCAGTTTCCCTTTGGGCTTAATAAAGTGTCCTGTCTACAGACAGGTGACAAATTAAGAGGAAAAAAGTGTCTTAGTAAGGTGTTGGGCCACCACTTCAATGCACCTTGGCATTGATTCGACAAGCCCATGAACAGTGACTAGTCGTGACCCCTTGTGCCTTTTGGATGGGGACACTGTGGTCCTGGAAGAGACCACTCATTTATTCAGGTTTGTCACCTGTCTCCATCTCTTTCTTTTAAACAACAGTCAGACCTTCATCTTGGGAAGGAAGATTTACTAAAATAGTAAGGGAACGGCATCATGGAAATACATCAAAATATTTAAACAATAATTAAAAAATAGTTTAGACTTCATTTTGAAAATGTATAAGGAGGGGGTGGGGGGTGTATTGCGTGAACTAACTCATGACGTCAGCCTACAGTACGTCCTTGCGTATAACGTGGCCAATCAACGCAACGCGAGGAAAGAGGTGACACAGGTGCAACAGATGAAACATCTCTCAACGCGCGAACTGTCAGTCAAAGAATGAGCTGCGAAGTAGGTGCACCGTGCATGTACTGTTTGGTCTCGCTTAGAATACAAAAGCATTTTGCATGCTTTTAACAGTTTGCCAAATAGCTTGTGTTAGTGCAGTGGAGCCAGTTTGCACTTTTCGTGATGCTGGAGGTAAAGTAACGTTAGTTTTCCTAAAAGATATTATGTTTGTAAAAACCTATCAAGACAGTCGTTTAAACACGTTTACTGTTCTGAAGACATCACCATAATCGCCAAAGACTCTAACCGTCTGAATAATAAAGTATTAAGTTAAGTTAAAAGAGGAATGGAAAAAGAGTTAAACCCGTTTATGAGGTGACGCTGTTCCCTAGTCAAAGAACCTTCGTCTGTCAGATTAGGAGTTAAAACTTTTTGCTTCACTATAGTTATCTGACTGCTTCATCTAGATAGCTAAGTCTATTAGTTACTTTACAAATTCAGATTTTTGCATGCAATTTATTTAAACTATGATGCTTTGTCATACATTGATCTAAACTGCAAAAGCACAGCTGCAATGATCAGATGACTGATTAATTAATTTTCATTAACAAAACACCTCAGATGTGAAGATTGCCTGCCTTTCTTTTTTTAACCATCTTCATAATTTTGATGCTTTATTTGTGATGGGTATTTCTCACTTAAAATTAGTTTTTATTACCAAACAGTCACTTGACATAATTTGTAGATTAGGCCTAACACATAATTGAATTACATAATACATAGCCTAATGATATAATACTCAAGGATGTTTTTGCTGTATTGGGTGATTTTATATTTTGCCTAGCCTGTGTAACATTTTTACTTGCAATTGAATATTTAATGGATTCAATTAAAATATCCAGTACTACTGCTTGCACTACTGGAACTACTACTTCTGCGTGACATTTGTAGAGAAGCTGCCAGAGGAAGGGCACAGGAGTAGCTGGTATCATTCATGAAATGATTGGATGCTTGCAAGTGATAATATCAAGTGTTTTTCTATGTATCTAATCATACTGTGCCTGATTAGACACAGCAGTAGGAAGTGAGAAATAAGTGACCTGTTCATGAGCACAGTGGTTCTTTGTACAGTGTACAATAATAATTTACCCTGGCAGCATGTGGAGAGTTGACATTATGTGCTGCTTTATGTGACCCAGCAGAACTATTCTGCATATGCTGGTTTGAACTTTGTTTTTGGAGCTAATGAAATACATGGTGCTACATGTTGTTGGTGTTTTCTATTTAAAGGGAAGGATCAGTGAATCCAAAGGTGACGATGGCGTATAACTAACCTTTTGGACAGCAGGGTCTGTAGTCAGCAAGGAGACTACATGTCCTTCAGCTGTAGACCTGGGGTGAAGTCCCCCATGGCAACTTGTGTTGTTGTATCAATTGCTGAATCCCTGCATTAAAGATTTCTGTTCTCCAGGCGACCTCTACTCTGTCATTAAAGGAAGAGAAGTAGTCGAGAAGACTTTTAAAATAATATTAACACTAAAGACATTACATTACAAACATTTTAGTTCAAACCTGGCAGCAGTCAGTGAGATGTCTATACTCTTTTAAAGCAATATGAAACAAAGTGTAAGCACACTATATAGTGAGTAGGCAGTGATTTGGACACAGCTGCTGTTTCCAAATAACCTCATGTGGTGTTTTTAAGTCTCTTGTTACTTGTTCAACATGGTGATGTTGCTATATCTTTGACATGCCAGTATTTATCTGGCAGTATATGTACCTGAATGATTTCCCTGGCTTGCTCATTTTTTTTTTTTTTGCTGCCCCACATTATTATTACCATTTTAATTTAAAAATTAAATTAAAAAAGTATCATTTGACATCTTGTCATCCAGCGATGAAGAGAAGTGTTGCTTCTTTCCTGCCTCTTGTTGTGAATTTCTGATCTCCTGGGTTACTCTGTGCAGGCTTATTAACTATACAGTAGGCTCTGCTGTCTAGTGCTTCAATGACATCCTGCGCTCTAGAGGGCGATTTAAGTGCACAGCAGCCAGGCTTGCAGTTTGGAGCTCAAAAGCTGAAATGTGAGCAAATGAATAGAAAAGGAAACGGCAGCACTGAGGGGATGTGAAATCAAATTAGTTAAACTTTTTATTCCGTGCACATTGGTTTAGAAGAATGCAGCTCCTGACAATCTACATTATCAAAGCAATCTGTCTCTCTTGTCCCTTTCTTCTCATTCCCATCTATTGAGTTTTCTCTCTTATCTCTCCCCCCCGCCCCCCTTTCTCTTCCCTCTGCCTTTGCAGATGGGCTGTTTGGCTGGTGAAAAAGAGGAGAGCTGTGTCAGTCGTGAGTGTACGCAGA